TATATATATATATATATACACACACACACATATATATATATATATATATGTATGTATGTATGTATGTATATATAAACACACACATACAGAGTAAGATTCTAATTCTTAATGAAAAGAAAGACAAGAAAATCGTAAGGCAGACAATAAAACTGACCAAGGACAGTTAACAGTGTGTTAGCCGGGGTTGCTTTCAGATCATTGAACAGTGGGCCTTTTTTTTTTTTTTTTTCTCTCTTTTTTTGTTCTCCATCTTCTACATGTTTGCATTTTCTAGATTCCCTATAATGAGCACGTACGATTTTGATATTGAAAATACGTCCCTGTCTTTTTAACAGCCCCAGCCTCAAGTGACAGCACAGAGGCTGGGCAGGGCTGATTTGAGTACCAGCTAATCAGAGGGGCTGTCTGGAGTTGCTATCGCTGATCAGCAAAGGGGGGGGGGGCACTCAGCAGGCTGCAGCTTGTGACCTCAGCACCCCCACTGTGCCTGCCATCTCACTGTCTCCCCTTTTCCTCCAGGTGCTTATACGCCAGAACCCCTCAGCAGCTTCCAGTGGGCCCTTCTCTCAACTGGCCTCATGTTCTTCTATCATTTCAGCGTCTTGCAGACCCTGGGCCTGGTAAGTTTGGTTATATCCCCTTCTAGTCCCTCTGTTTGGAGTTCTCCATAAATCTTGATAATCCCGGTTGGTACTGGTTTATCGTTTTGTTTTGAAAAAATACAAGATGCTAAAGGCCAGGACGTCAGATTGTTGTGTCTGGGTAGCTGATTTATGATGCACAGCCTTGACCTCTCCAAAGAGTTTTTGGAATTTTTCAGTAATGACTGTTTCTTTTTCATCCCTGGGAGACAACGCTGCCCATCGTTCATGGCCACTTACGTTGGAAATAGTGAGTTGCAAATGGAGAGTGGTTTGCTGTGGACCCCATGGGGAGAAAGGACCCTAACACAGGCCCTGGGCCTGAGGAAAGCTTCTTACGTGGGGTCCATGTTGGGCCGACTGCCAGGCACTGTAGCAGTCTCGGACCTGAGCTGAGTGGCCAGTTAGAAGTGTGCTGTTGAGGGACCCCTGTACCATTCTGGAGTGTTCAGAACTGCCTGGAGTGTGGAGACTGGTTGGACTTAGTAGTTGAGTTATCTAGAACCCCAGATGGCTAAGTGCAAGTGAGAGGAATAGCTTGGCTCTGGGGCTAGGGAGGGGTCAGGAGACCCAAGTTTAAATCCTGGCTCTGCCACTGATTGGCATGAGTCACTTTGCCCTCTGAGAGAGTTCCCCACCCCTCCATGTCATAAAAAGTGGCCCCAACCTCGCCAGAGGTGCTGAGGACGTGTCTCTAAAGTCAACAGGCTTGAAGGTCTACGGAAGGCAGCACTGTGGCCCTCCTTGGCACAGGAGTGGAATGTTGGGGTTCATGTGCCAGCAGCACTAGTGTAGCATGTGGAGCCTCGCGCGACTTAGCATGCTTAGGGCATGTAAGCGATGTCACCATTGCCTTCATAGAAGCAGTTACTTTCTCTTCCCCACCCTGTTATATGTCTCTCCTCTGTGGTCTACTGGGGTCTGGGGAGTTTGAGGTCTTTGCCAACTGGTTTACTGAGGAAGCAGTATGACCTTCACACCCTCACCTCCTGCTGCTCTTCACTGGGAAGAGACAGTGTCTTCATATCACCATGCATAGCAGGCTCTGTCCCACCTCTGGGCTTGGCTCAGTCCATGCCTCCTACCAGGAAGGCTGTGCGTCCCGCCCTCCCTCCCATTTCTCGCCATCCATCTTTCATGAACCCATTCAGGTGCCACTCCCCTCATGAAATTGATTTTCTTTGAGGACCACAGCCTCCGTTATGCTATCCTTCTCAGAACTCTTGGTAAGGAGCACTCTCGAGTTTGAGCTCAGATGTGGTAGACTTGACTGAGTGCCAGTTATGTGGAGGTAGGGACCATAATGTTCTTTTCTGCTCTTACATCCTTCAACACCTCTCCGAAGTCAAGACACGTAGTAGGAGATGCTTAGAAATAGCAACGGGTTCTTGGCCCAACTGGAAGACAAGGCTGCACAAAAGCCAGCAACTTTTGTACTGGACAACCTTCCTCCTTCTCCTCCAGAGGGCCCTAGCTTTGACCCACCTCACAATCCTAGGGGAGGGAGATTCCTTTATGAACAGGGGGGGATTGGCCAATCCCTCCTTGTCTAGTCCTCCAGGAGGTAGACATGGCTGAACTGGCAGAAGCCAGAGGAAGCCCAAGGATGGTGAACGCTCACTCTACCTCCCTTGTCCCTGCAGGTCACCGAAGTGAATTTGAACAACATGCTGTGTCCGGCCATCTCAGACCCATTCTACGGCCCCTGGTATCGCATCTGGGCCTCGGGACACCAGACTCTCATGACCATGACCCACGGGAAGCTGGTCATCCTGTTCTCATACATGGCTGGGCCCCTGTGTAAATATCTGCTGGATTTGCTCCGGCTTCCAGCCAAGAAAATAGACTGAAGGTGGTTGTCTTTTTCTCCCTCCCCCCCCCCCCTTGAGGAAGCAAGTCCTGACTTGACTTAGAGAACACTCCGTTCTTGATGAAATCATGGGAGAGGGCAGTAGGAGGTTTTGGTGTGTTTCTTGTATCCTCCTCTCTGTCCTTTTCTTCCACCACTCTTCCTTCCCCAGCTCTTTCCCCCAGGGTGTCTCCTTGAGCCTGGGGCCTAGTGCTGGGGATGGGCTGTTCCTTCCTTCCTGTAGACTCTTTCTCCCTGCTCCCAGTGGCCTTGCATGGGAGATGGTAGTTGGTGGCTCTTTCACTCTGCTTGTTGGTGCTCTAGCAACAGCTGGTTGAGAGAAAGGGAACAACAAACATTCGTTCTTTTGGCATTGAAGTAAGTGGGTTGTGTTTCATTTCTACACTGCCAGGGACCCTCAGGCCTATGCTTGGGTCCCCTTTTGTTGCCAGCACAGCCCTTACCATCAGGGGGCGGAACCCTTGTTTCTATAGCATCCCCCAGAGGAGAGCTGGCGTAATCGAAAGGGGGCAGGGTTAAAGTGTCCACTACTAGGCAGGGCCCTGTGTAAGTAGTGCCTGAGAGAACTGAGAACTGACCCAGATCCCGTCCAAAGCGAGCAGAGAAATTCATCAACGGAAGTGGCAACTTGAGAGAACTAGGATCTGAACCATTGGCGTCATTTCAGTTTAATGTTGATCGTAGACAGAATTTGAATTTTGAGTTTCCCTTAAATGTTCTCTCTCTCTTATAAAAAGGCAGCCATAGGAAAGAATGAGCTAGGCTGTTGTTGTTTTAATGTTGGGGTTTGGAGAATCTTTGGGGCAGGGCCCAGTTCTTCAAGGGGCTCCTGTGCTATTACTTGGGTACGCCAGCTTCCTGGGTTTGGGAAGACATAGCTTCTGCCAGCCTTGTTTCCTTGGGCCAGATTGCTTCCTGGCAGCCAGATTCAATGCTGACTTGTATAACATGGGGGACCACCACATGCCACCCCCAAACCCCTGTCCAGGCTCAAAGGAAAGTCCCCACTGGTGGAGGTTCAAGTGCTTAGAAAGTAGGACCTTGGGGACATTATTTTCTTGCGAGACATTAGCTCAGTCATGTATGGACCCCAAGGTGGGAGTTAGTGGCCCTGGTGGTGCTGCAGAATGAGCACTGGACTGCTAATGGAAAGACCGGCTGTTCAAACCCACCAGCGACTCCACGGGGAAGATGAGCAGCTTGCTGCTCCTTGTAAAGATTACAGACTCAGAAACCCTATACCATCTCAGAACCGACTCCAGGGGGGGCCAGGCCAGGCTACCCTACTGGGGTTTCTCCCATGGCAAGGCCAAGGGGAGTAAGTACTACACAAATCCGGACAGGAAATTATTCAGGGACTTTGTCTGATGAGCTGCCTTGCTGCTCTCCCATTCCGGACATCCTAGTTGCACTGCGTCAGTTCCAGTATTTTCAGTGGTAATGTGTTCATTCAGGGACTCAGCCATCATCATTTTAGCAAATAGGCCTACAGAATGCAGGAAGGTCTCAATTGAGGAATTCAATTGCCCAGGGAAGCAATCCTAGGGCTCACAGACTGGAGGCCCACTCTTCTGCATAGGCCAACTGCCACTGAGGCGACATTATCCCTTAGGTGGAGGGAGGGGTGTGCGGTTCTTGCTTCTCAAGAGCTTCCTAGGACTCATAAGCTTCATTTTCTGCAGACTTTGAGAACTTGGCCCCTAGGACTGACTGTCCCTCAAGACAAGGCACTCCTGGAGTATCTCAATTCCCCCTGTCCCCCACTCCCCTCAGACTGAGGTATGCAGAACTGTGTAGAAGTGGCCGATGAAGAAATGTGCCAGGGCCTAGTACTCCCTTTGGCCTTGTCATGGGAGGAGCCCCAGTAACCTGCCCTGGCCCCCTTGGAGCACTTCAGAGTGCTGTAGGCAGATGATGTGGGCCGCAGCTGGGATGGGGCAAGTCTCAGCTTGGGAAGGCCACAGAGTTCTGATTCTGCAGGCTCCTTCTTCCTTTCTGTCCTGTGGCTGTCAGCTCCTGCTTTGCCCACACATTTGCCATGGCTGCAGCTCAGTGCCCCATCTGGCTGACACTCTCTGCTACTTGGAAGGAGTGAAGAAAGTGAAAGCCACGTGCCTGGCCTGGCCAGGCCAGTCCAGAAACAGACTTGGCAGGGGAAGAGGGAAACAAGGGGGAGAGACGGGGCTTCTTGGGACTCAGTTGGCTCCAAAGCCTGTGGGCAGAATGAGCAAGCCTGGTAGATAGTGGGTCTAAGGGAGTATTTGGAGGGTTTCCTCAGCAAGCATCTGAGGTGATCGGGCCTTGCTCTTCCCTTGGACCAAGCCCATGGAAAAAGGGCAACCTGGCCAGATGCCCTGCTTTTGGGGTGGCTCTCCTTCCCACCCAGCAACCAGCCTGCTGCCACTCCAGCTTGGCTCCCGGAATGAGGTTAAAATTGCTATTGAGCCCAGACTTACCAGGTCCTTCCTAGGCATTCCAACCAGTGCCAAGGTGGCTCCGCAGCCACCCTGGTCAAGTTTCCAGATGCCATCTGCCAGCGTGTGGAAGCTCTGGGGCTGTTTGTGAGGATGCTTGTAGAAGTGGACTGTTTGCTTGAAAACAGCACTAGAAAGGGCAAAGAACCCCCATCTTCCCCCTCCCCCAGGTAGCCAAGGGATCTGGGCCAATGAGAAGAGTCTGTTCAGCTGACCGGCTCATGACGTCAGCTCCACATAGTAGAGGGATTGCCACATTCCTCTCAATACTCCCAGTATTTGGTTTTGTGCACCAAAGATGATCTGGCCCCCTTTTTCTCCCGGAGGCAGACTGGTGTGTTCCTCAGTTAGCCTTCAAGGGCACCGTCTTGGTTCTGAAGCCACCGGCTCGAGTCTCGCCAAGCCAACATTGTCTGTCCCTTGGACTTCCCTAGTCTTCACAAAAGCTGCTTTGTAACATCGTCAAAATCACTGGGGCAACCAGCGCACTTTATTATATGGTACCTCAACCTAGCTGTCCAAGAACCCCTTTGACTGTAGCCTTCATCAGGGTTTTGATACTTGGGATCGTTGATAATTAATTCAGTGTTTTGGTGCCGTGGGCACAATTCCCTCATGGTTTTCAACAGGTCTCTGTGCACGGGTGTGCGTGCTAGATAGCACCCTGGTGGTGACCTGGGGGCTCAGGACGGCCCCTCCTCCCTTCCCTCTGCCCAAAAGCCTTCCCTGGATCTATAGCTGTGGATGCAGGGGCATCTGCCCTCTTTGAAAGTAGGGGTTCTTGTTGGTTTCTACTGAAAGTGGGGAGGTGAGGAAGGCAAAAAGCAAGGCCTTTTGTGACATGGTTGACATTGGGCTGGTTTTGGTCAGTGGACAGCAGGGAGAAAGAAGGTCTTCGGCAGGCTTTTGCAGGCTCCTTTATAAGGCCCCAAACTGGGAAGGGTCGCCCTCACCACGTGCTCTGCCCTCTCTGAGGGTGGGTAGAGGGAATGAGAGGGTGGGAGTAAGCCTTCTGTCTTGTGTATATAGAAGAGTGAGCCTATGGTGCTCAGGAAAACCTAGTCGCTTCTTGTTGCTTGTCTGTGTGACATTTTTTGTAACACTGGTTTGCTACTTGTGGTGTGAAACATACATACAAATAAACAAACAACCGTTGGGTGGGGGTGGGGGGATTGAGGAGGGAAGAAAAGCAAACGAAACAAAACAAAACAAGTCATTTTAGGCAAAGCTGTTGATTCATAAACTCTTGCTTTTTTCAGTGTCAATTTTGGGTTCAGTTTTCCAGAATTCTGCCTATCTAGTGATGTTCTTGTGGTAAAGATTGGCTAATCTGTAATTTTCAACAATACCCCTGCCTTCACCTCTTTCCCACCCTTCTTGCCTCCCACCCTTCCTCCTTCCCAAGCTGGGATTGCTATGCACTGGGTGGATCTTTCGCTGTCACCCCCTCCCCCAGCCGGGCGCTCCCTTTGGAACCAATCTTGCCAGTCCCCTTCAAAAGCGGGGGTGGTGGCAGTGGTGGTGTTGTGTTTTTGTCAGGCTGGTTCTTGGGTGCTCTGTGCCCTCACCAAGTTTGCTCCGCCTCTTGGGGCATTTTGTAATGTGTATTCTCTGATTTGTAAAAAAAAAACACCAAAAACCAAAAAAAAAAACCTTTTGATTGTACTGAAATGGTGTCTGTAGTCACCCTTGGTAATAAATGGTCATTCATTTGTCTACTCAGCGTGTGGCTGCATCTCAATCTCAGGTGTCTCTGTTGTTGAAGATCTCTCCACGAGAAGGAGCCCTTACCACTGCCGTGTTTTCTTCGTTGACCAAGATTTCTGAGAAGCCAGAAGTCTTGGCCCTTTGCTTTCAGTAGTGGATACAAGGGACTGTTGTCCCTCCACCCTTGCAGGGCCCTCTCAGCACAGCCATTATGGTGGGCACCATGGCCACGAATGCCCACACACTGCCTACGTCCATTAACAGCTGTGAAGGACCCAGCAGGGCTTATCTGTTGGGCTTGGAGGCCCCACGGTGGACTGGGTCAGGCTGGATTACATCTTTGAAAACCAATATGTTCTAGACCACTTGACCCAAGTTTCTCCCAAGGGCCCCCTCTGTATCCAGCACAGTACAGCACAGGCCAGTACCCAGTACAGGTCACGCTGTACCATGGTGAGAAGAGAACATAGCCCTGCCCCCTGGGAATGATGGGACTGGCCTTCCGAAAGTCACACAGTGAGCATCACACAGCTAGTTCACGTGATTCCGTTGACCTTCCTTTGTACCACACACAGGTCTTACTCGGTCTGTGCTGTTGTTTCTAGAGTTGACTCAGCTAGCCAAAATGGCTCCCAGTCCAGGAGGACCTCCTCTTTGGCCTGTAGAGGCAAACCCAGGCTAGGAATGAGACAGGACCCAACAATCCTGGAGTACGAATCCACTATTTTGGGCAAGTCATTGCAGCTCTTGCTGTCTGGGTTCTCCATCCACAGAGCACTAGCTACAGGTCATCTATCACTTGTGTGTGCTAGGCACAGTGTTGTACTAACCACACACATTACCTCAGGGCCACTGGTTCTGTGATAGAATTCTCACCTTCTATACTGGAGACCCAGGTTC